TTTCTTCAGGATCAATGCTGCTATCTAAAAATTAATTTACAGGGAAAAAAAAAAACTAAAAAATACCCTGGCCCCAGTTTTGGTTTTGTTGGGCTGCTGGGGCCGCAGAACAAGCTCCGCAGGGAGGGCGGCTCTGCCGCAGCCGGTCCCCGCGTCCCCGAGCGCTCCGGGCCGCCAAGGGCCGAGTCGCTGCGGGGAAGGGCAGTGTTGGTGCTCACACGAAGCGGCACTAGCGATGGTGGTCCCCCCGACACCTCCCATTTTACACACCGGAGAAGGTCCGAGCGGGCTGGGTGGCCGGAGCCGCGGCGCTTCCCGGCCGGCCGCAGGCACCTGTTCCGGCTGGAGCCGCGCTCCTGCCCGCGGCTGTTTACCGGGCATGCGGGAAGGGCAATTCAGGGCGTTTTCTGTTTCTAACGTAACCGAAGCCCCCCATTTTCCCCTCCAAAACGGCGGCAGGGTGGCGGTGGGTCCGGGGAGGCCGCGGGGCCCCACGCACCTCTCCGTGCCTCTCCGTGGGGCCGGGCCGCGTCACGTGCCGCCGCCTATATATCCTATATGTGCACGGGTGCGGGCTCAAAATACACCTATAGCTCTATCTGTGTGTGTCTATATGACTGTGGTACCTTGCGCGCTGAGCTGCGGTGCCGGCAGCAGCGAGGCTCCCCCATCTCGCCCTGCTGCGCCGCCCCGGCTGGATGGGCTTCCCAACCCCGGAGGAGCGCCGGGGAAGCGGCCCGGCCCGTGGCTACGCTTCCAGAAGGCGACCGGCACCGGGAATCGAAGGAGACACCTCTGGGTGTCCGTCAGTTGCTCCCCGGGTTCCCGGGAGGCGTGCGTGTGCCCGCACCTCGAAGCACGTTCGGTTATTTTCTGTACGGGGGAAACATTACCGAATTGTTACCTCCAGCCACACAATAATCCCCTAAAATAATAGCTGGCAGAACAAAATCAGCCCTGGAATCAAGAGCTTCATCCGCAATTAAATGAATGTTAACCCCCCCCCCCTCCCCGCATTCACAATATCATATCATTTACTCGCACCGAAATTGGGTTTATTTATATTTAAGTTAGCAAAATTGAAATCTTTATCCCAAAAGCGAGCGTGGGTACTTAATTAAATTCTAATTAGGACACTATCAATATCCCATTTAGCCACGTAGCCTTTGTGAGCCGCGGTCCCTTTCAGAGCTGTAAATGGGGGCTCGCTGCCTTATCTCTCCTGCAAGAGACGCCTTGAGAAGGGCTGCAAAAGATAATTTATAGGTTTTAATTACTCTTCATTCCGCCTGATCAGCTTGGCGTTCATCACAGGACGGCGAATAAAACCTGGTCAAAAGCACTGTCACTATTCCCTGGCAAGACGCTTAATCAAAGTAAGCAGGGCCATATTACACGCTGCGAGCTTCTTCACGTAATTTCCCAGCTGCTGATAAAGCTAGTTGAATAATGCTGCAGTCCTTCGGAGACACCATTTACAGAAATGACTTTATTGACGGCTTAACGTCGGTAATTCATTTTACCTTTCATGTATTGGGAGCCCGGATTTGTTACAGTAATAGGATGATAAATGTCCTGGCGGCCCTATAGCTTTTATTATTGAATACAATACACACACCCATCCTTAAATGTTCCAAAATTGGGTAACAAAAGGGAGAGAGAGAGAAATCGAAGCCTTTAACTATTTAATTTGCCTTCCTGAGCACGCGCGGGGGGGAAGTGTGTGTATGTGCGTGTGTGTCTGTGTGTACGTGTGTGTGTAGGGAGGGGGATTGTTTCATCTGGAGTCCTCCCTTCTTCCAGAAACTGTTCTGGATTGTAAAGGCTTCTCTATAAATTGAGTAGGTTTGTGTATGGAGGGGGTGGGGGATCGGCTGGATGAATGAGGAGGGGTTAAAGGAAAAGACGATGTATATTTCCAGGCTGGATATTTTTTCCATCGCGACCCTTCCTATCTAAATAGATAAATATTACTCCCCGGCTAGCAGGTAGTTACAGTAATCGGGGTAATATGTCTGCACACGGACGGCTTACGGACGGAAGCTTTAAAAAAAACCCGCTTCTTAGATAAGGTTCCCTCTGTAACTTGTGGGTGCCGCTGGGTTTCGGGGCCCCCGTCGGGGGGCCCGGCCTCCCGGCGCCCCGTGCCTGCTGCCGTCGCAGGGGGGGCCGGTCCCGAGGAGCCGCCGGCGCGTCCAGTGGGGCCGGGGCACCGGGGGCTCCCCCGAAAGTGTTGCAGGGCCGGGGCCGTGCTGCCCCTCGGAAGTGCCGCGGTGCCGTCTGAGTCTCTGGCAGGTTGGTGTCCCCACCGGCTCTCGGTGCTGAAGCTTGGGTCAGCCATCCCGGCATGGGGCGGGAGAAAATCCAGTCCGGGAGGCGGAGAGTGGCCCAGGGGCGGCAGAGCCGGGGAGACGGGCTGGGACCCCCGGTGCCCGCCATCGGGCTGTGCGGAGGGCACTCGCATCGCTCCCGCAGCACGGCGCCAGCCCGCGGTGCCCACATCCTCTTTGGAAACTGGGCAAAATAATTTCTCCGATTTCGTTGCATTTTTTTTTCTCATTTTCTTCTTTTTGAGGAAGGCCATCAAAGGAAGGAAGTTGTAAAATTGAAAATAAAAACAAAGTTAAAATTAGATTGAAAACCATTGTTTTTATTTTTTTCTCGGCGCCCTTATAGGAAGGAGGAAGTATAGAAACGTGGTTAATATACGCTGTGGTAATCCTATTTCTAGGTCTAGATCAGATCTCATTGGGGCCTTTGCTGAAGGACATAAATGAGTTGTTCTAATACAATAGATTTCATCCTTCCTACAGGGACTGGCTGACCAGAGGTTTTGTTAAAAGTGAATACGAATAGATTTCTGCTACAAGTGCAGCATTATTATTATGAGCTGTAAGGTCAGACTATACATTCCGGGTCCCCAAAGCCTATAGACCCTGGGAAAGGCGCGGGATATACCACGTCATTGTACCTGACAGTCTCTTCAATAGACTAATTCAATTATCGCTTGGGGATTCAGTCTTCATTGAAAGC